GGGGGGGGGACGTGCACACCAGTGCAGCCATACATTTGAGGTACTGGGGGTGGGGCACATCCAGGAGAATCCTAGGAGTTCCAGGTGGTTCCAATAGTTTCCAGTAGTAGGGAGAATGGCAACGCATGCCAACACAGCCCAGAGCATGGGAATAAAATGTATGAAAGGGGGGGGGACCTGCACACCAGTGCAGCCATACATTTCAGGTACTGGGGGTGGGGCACATCCAGAGAATCCTAGGAGTTCCAGGTGGTTCCAATAGTATGCACCAGTATGGAGAAGGGCAACGCATGCCAACAGACCCCAGAGCATGGGAATAAAATGTATGAAAGGGGGGGGGAACCTGCACATCAGTGCAGCCATACATTACTGGGAGCAGGGCAGTGTTTTCCAAGATTCTGACAAAGTCCCACGATATCTTACAAGTGTATGAGCCAGAGGGCCCTCCATGCCTATCGAGAACCGTGAAGCGAGGTTCGAATATCGAGGATCGAGAATCAAGAAGCGGGAAGCGAGGATCGAGGATACTGGATCGAGAATTGAGAATCGAGAATGGAGAATTGAGAATCGAGAATCGGGAATCGAGAAGCGAGGATCGAGGATCGAGAATCGAGAATGGGGCTTGTCAAGCCAGGTCGGGAAAATTGATGAGAATGGCAGACAGGTTCAGAACAGAGTGGAAGTTTCAATGTTCAAATACTTCTTGTTGCTTCCAAATGATTCTGCATCTTTCCTTCGAAAATTAAATGCAACAAACTTCAAAGCATCGTGAAAAGAAATTAGCAGCCGTGTGCAGCTGTCCTGTTTTTAAAGCATCGAAATTTCGTGAGTTTGCAATAGTTTGCGGCCTTAGCAAAGAGAACGACTGGAAATTGCTTTGGACCCATTCATTCTGTGGCCAGATATCGAAAGAAATCGTGGAAATCAATCGAAGGAAATCGTCCGCTTTTGAGGTTGAAACAACATAGTCCCCCCTTACTTTCATACATTTCCAGTGATTTACAGAAACCACCTAGTCCCCCCTCTATTTTATACATTTGATTTTGTCTCATCTTATCCAGGTTACTGCAGTAAATGACCTGGTCCCCCCTATGCTTCATACATTTTAAGATTTTTAACTTGCAATGAATTAATAGTTCCTAGTAGCAGCTCACCCCCCAGAGGAATACATTTTGGGGGTTTCCCAAGCATTGTTTAAGTGCTGGTGCAGAGCAGGTCCCCCCCATGTCTCATTCAATCAAAAATGATAGTGTATAAACCTTCTTGACACCTCTTTTAAGCCTCTTTCCGTCGCCGGGCTTGACCACCTGCTCCCCCCCCCCCGTTCCTACATTCGATGGAAATGTATGAAGGGGAGGGGGGGTAGATACACACGGAAGGCAGGGGATTTTTTTGACCATCACCGCCATCACCATTGAATCCCCATTAATTGAGTGAGAAATATTCCCACGACGATCCTCACCCTTGAGGCTGGGATCAATTCGGAGGGTCAGTCGCATTTCGGACCCTCGGCCGTGCGGGACCTGGGTCCAATCCTGGCGCGAATGTTGGAACTTGGATGTGCTTTGATCATGTTTTAATATGGCTTTATAATGTTTTATATATGGTTATCAATTTTATCATTGTTTATCAACATCCATATGATTATTTGCGTGTGTCTCAGTCTCCCAACTAGAAATTTATGTTGCAGCGCGATTTGGGACAGCTGCGGGCTTGTTAACTTTCGTCAATAAGGTGGCGGGTTGTATTTAAGGTCTGTCCCCGGAAATAAGGTGCATGCAATATGCAAAGTGCATCAAATCAAATGTGCGGGGATCCTTGGCTGAAAAATGGTTGCGCAACTAATTTCGAGACCCCGATTTCGTGTTATTTGTTCATTTTTTACTGGTTTTTTCAATGTAATTTTGCCTTATTTTTTTTGCAGGCAGAAACGCCGCCGGCTGCTCAACAAAATACATTCTATGGATCTTTAAGAAAGGCCCGCCGCAGGTGCCACTTTTCAGTGTTTGGATCGTCGCCAAAAAGACTTGATTCCATCTATCTGAGAACAATTAAAAGAACGCTATACACATTTAAACAAAAACAACACGTGTTTTTAAATTCCATTTTTTAAAATATTTATGTTTTTCTTTCAGTATATTTATATATTATTTTATTTATATATTTGTTTCTTTCTATTGAATTTATGTTTATTTGTTCCCTTATTTCCGCGGAAAAAAACTTAAATTCAAGGGCTGGCCTTGAATTTAAGGAATTTCGATTTTGTCCACGATTATTTTTTTAAAAAAATGACTTTCAATGTTTTTTTGAAACATCTTAATGACTTAATGTGTTTTGTTTTTTCCGCGATGTTTTTTAGAAAAAAAACGCTGATTTTCAACATGTTTTTGAACATAATCGTGGAAACAAATCAAAATTCCTTAAATCCAAGGCCAGCCTTTGAATTTAAGGAATTTCCTCGGAAATAAGGAAAAATAGATTTCCCTCAAAAAAATCATCAAATAAAGAAACATAGATAAATAAATAAAAATAGAGAGAAATAGAAAATAGAAACAATGCAAAATCAAGTAAACATACAAAAGATATAAACTTGTAAAAATAATCATCGTTTTTCAAGAAATGACAAATATTGTCTTTCCGGAAAAAAGGTAATATATAAAAATGAAAGCATTGAAACACATGAATAAATGCAATATCCTAAAAAATCCAATGCATATTCGTAGGGTCTAGTTTTTAAATTGCTTTCAAATTCGTGGAAACAATGTTCTTTGAACGACAATCCAAATGCTCAAAAGTGCCGCCTGTGGCGGGCCTTTTTAAAGATATTCATAGAACATATTTTTCGTTGGCAGGCGGCAAGGTTTCTGTCTGCAAAAAAAATATATGTTTTTTTTTAATACCATACATGTAAAAACGAAAGACCAAGAAAAATGAGCATGAACATGGTTAAACCAAATTTTCGAACAAAAGCGAACAGACTTGAAGAATTAAAGAGTGTATATAGGGTATTTCCATTTTCATGCCCAAGACCAACAGCTGCTGCTGTGGAGCAAGTCCAATGAGCTGTTGTAAGATGTTGTAAGTATTTGTTTTGGATGATTTTTTAGGTGCCTGCATTTGTTTCTTTATGACTCCTGTTTTTTCTGCGCATACTTTATTTTGACCTACGCTGTGAACATCTACTAGTTTGTCACCCAAAGTCTTCACAAAATGAGTCATGTGGATGGCTGCAGTTACCTGATTCAATACAATTTGCTCAAAACCCTTTCAAACTGGATTTCAATCCGAAACAAGTGGTTGCAAATATCCTAAACCTTATTTCCGTGTAATTCCCTTATTTCTTGAATTATGAAAGTTTACATGCGGGCTGAAATCGTGCTTATATAATTACCCTATTTTCATACACACCATCAAAAGGGCCAATCTAACCATCGAAAATTCAGCAATTGAAGCATCATGAACCATCATGAACCATCACAATTAAACGTGTTTTTGATTTGGCCATCAAAGTACGGGGATCAATCAACTAAAATATGGGTGTAACTGGTGTAAGCCGCAGCTGTGGGAATTCATAGTTATAGGCAGCTGGTATCGGATGATCAGAGCGGGGAGGTCAGTTCAGCATTCAGCCGTAGGTATTGCCAGTTGGACCAGTAATCACCGTAATCACCGGTACGCAAAAGATGCAAAAGTATTGACTTTGCAAAGAACAGCAGCAAGATTGGATTATTAGTGCAAAAACAAATCAACAAAATTGGTTGGGCCAAAGACCTTGAACTTTGAGACAGATATTACAACATAGATCGACACAGTGTCACCTACCCCGTCCCATGGTTTTTCTGGTTTCATGACTTGTGTGGCAATGATTTGTTATATAAATCGTTGTTTATGGATGTTTATGGCATGCAGCTGATACGGCGCCCTTGGAAGGGTTGTCAATTTTGAGATGTGCCATTTACGATCCCTCTGAAGGGTTGCAAATTTCAAAAATGAGGCTTTCCGAAATGGAGGTAGTATAGGATTTGATTTTTTTGGTGTCTTTAACATGTTGCACATGCTGTCGTAGGATCATCAAGGGGGTGGGGGTGGGGGTTGGGGGGGTGTATTAACGTCCCTGACGGGCACTTCTCTTATGTTTCGGAACATGCACACGTTGCACATGCTGTCGTAGGATCATCAGGGGGTGGGGTTGGAGGGGAGGTGTATTAACGTTCTTGACGAGCACTTCTCTTATCTTACGGATCATGTACACGTTGCGCATGCTGTCGTATGATCATCAGGGGGGGTTGGAGGGGGTGTATTAAGGTTCTTGACGGGCACTTCCCTTACGTTACGGAACAAGTTGCCGTTGTTGACATGTTGCACATGCTTTCTGACGCGCCTTTGTTGGATTTCTAGCTCTAGCGTTGTCACTGCAGATGGAGCCAGAGGTTTTGCAGCCAGTTGTGTCAAAGACCCACAAAAGGCTCAAGATGGCCCAAGTCAACCACAAACAAAATATCTTGACTAAGACTTATCATTTTCGAGGTCGTTTGTGGGGTAAATCCTATAATTGGAACCATTGTTGCTGGTACCCAACAAATGGGTGGAACATGGAAACACTTCAAAAAATGGCGACCTATGTCGATGCCCCACAAAAAAAAATCAACAAGTGTACAAAAAAAGGTACACTTGGGCCTACAGCTGGACATGGCGTCACAACGCTGCCTTGTTGCAGTTTGTGGCTTCTGCGTTGCCACAAGCGCTCTGGCACTGAAGCGTCGAGAAGAGGAAAAAACTGGATGAGTGAATGTCTCCCTGATATGATTCGGATGATTGAAAATCATATCATAGATTATCATAGATTTCTAATCTTCTTTTTGACCCTTGAAGAGCAAAATCGAGTCACCGCGCAGGCGAAACGCAAATTTTCACTCTTGAGTCACACGCCTGCCAATCGAAATGAATCTCCATGTGGCAAACATTTTTTGACGACTCCTGCAAATACCAGCATTTTGTCTCTTAGCCTCAAAAATCAGAATTTCAAATTCGTCACCCTTACAAGGGCGCCGAGTCAACCGGTTGCCGTGTTTACAGGCAAAATGGTGCCAGTAAGAACATGTAATAACATGTTACATGTACATAGGTGAGAGATGTTGAGAGGTCCAAGACTCATGGAAGAGCAAACCCCCGCATATTCTATGTGAAAGGCGATCCATTTCGTCCAACCCTTTGTAAGATGACAACTGCCTTCTTGGGCAACTGCCCGGAAGAAGCAAAATCAGGTTGGATTCCCCAAGGTTAGATGTGTTGGTTTCTAGAAAATCAATTGCTGTGGGGCGGCTCTATTCATCCGTATTTCTGGCACAACTTTTGCTGGGTCGCCATAGGTGCTCAATGCCAGCCGAACTAAGTCCATCAAGACGCTCTATGACAAACCCGTTCAATGCGTCAGTGTCCTCAGCATCGAAGAAGGCTCAATCTGAAAGTGCTGTGGGCATTTGTAGGCAATACCCCTCATTGACTCAGTGACGGCAGTGATGGATGGTCATGTTTAATACTCAGTGATGGCGATGTTTGGGATTTGAACTTGTAAGTCCCGATTAGTTTGATTCACTACTAGTGATCAACTCAATCTAGCTCCTATAATTATAGCATTATTTTCATATATTGTTTAATTCGATATATGCTACGCAGTTTTTTGTTGCCTTGGTTACCGGTTTGCGTGATTGGTGTGCCGGATGTTTTGAAGCCGCCGTAGTTGCCGTGTTGACAATATTATATATATATATGCCTGAATAATCATGAATAGCAAATATTATGTTTGACTAGCCGGCCTATATCCTATATATTATATTATATTGTGTGTTGTATGTATTACATATATACGTACATTCTATGTTTAAACATGTATATATATATATATACACATCACGTTTTACCTACATAAAATCATAGATGATCATAGATGTAAACTGTATACATAATATTATTGTATACCTGTACAATATATAATTTATATACATGCATATTATTCATGTTTGTGGTTTTCGGGTGGTACTGTTCAAGAAGGTCACCCGACACATCCACATGCCAATACCACTGATTTTGTTTGTCCCCAATGGCGGCAGCTACTGATGTGTTCTGGTGGGGTTTATTGAACTGAACTACGTAGGCACGCTGATACCATCCATAGTATATTTGCCTACATTGGGTGATTGTTGATCAAAATTTCCATATCATTCTATACTTTGGATTTGGATGGATTATCACCTGGCTACTTGCACCTGCCCAGTTGCACCTTCCTGTCAAAGTGTTTCAAGGTCTCTTCTGCGAGCCCCAGGATGATTTTGGGTACCTGGTCCCAAAATGAGCTTATCCATTTAAGATTCTATATTTTTATACCCACATATATACCTAATATCTAGATGTGTGAATTCTTGCACAAGGAAAAACAACTATACACATCTTGTCGTGCGCTGTGGGCCGGTGGGTCGTTGATAGTCGGCCCGTAATGGCGAGCATGGCAGCCATGGCTTTGCAGAAGACGCTGGCAGTGAGGCCAACCCCAGAGGAAGAGGTGAAAGTCTTAGAAGTGGAGAAGGAGCCTTGGGGACACCTCTTGGGCTGATTGAATCTTAATCATGAATTTTCAGATTTGGGTGTATGCAGTGTATGCATGATTATACATGTGCATCGTTTTTGATAACTATATAAATAATGGAATACACGTGCATATTAATACAAATGGGAATCCATGAATGAATACATGGGAAGCACAGGGAGGTACAAACATATATGGAATAATACCGTTGAATATCCGCTCAAACTCATCCCAAAAGAAAACTGCCAGCCGTACCTTTTCGGCCGTCAGCAAGCAATACCTGGCAATAACGTGTGAAGTTCTATAGAAAAAGCGATCTTTCTTGAACAAGTCCAAGAATGGTTCAAAAGATACAGAATTTTAACATAAGAAAACATCGTGTCTCGTGAAAAAGTGCAGTATTTATTGAAAGTGTGCTGCGTTTCTGTCAAAAGATATGGTATTTGGTTCCTGAAGTGCGGCATTTCTTGGAGAACAAATGTGGCTCTACAAGATTATTTATCAGCAAGAGCAGTAATCTTCTGAGGAATATACGTCCACAAGGGTATGTTTGAGAATTGTCCCAAAATATCGTTGGATCTCAATGTTTATTATCATGTTCCCCATCAGGATAGCCATATGTTCGGGTCTTCCAGTCCCCCTGTTTTGGACAAACCCAAACATCAGATTATTGATTTATGTGTAATAACATCACCCTGATATCCATTATGTGTTGTCACTATCACTACAAGTAGAACCCGCGCAAGGTGGGTGGCGGAAGTTTCCAGGTTTAAGAAGTGCAACGCTATAGGATCCAAAAACAAGGTTTTCCTATAGGAGCAGCGGCAGACTTCCATGCTCTTTTCCGGGGCTTCTGACCTCTTGTCGCAAATTGTGAAACCACTTGTCAACTCTTCCACCGACTTCTCACCTCTCGTCAACTCTTTTCAACGACTTTCATTTCTGTGCACATCTTCTTGACTCTCCTCAACTCTCTTTTGATCTCTCTCTTCTCCTCTCAACTCCTTTCAACTCGTGTTGGCTCATCTCACCTCAGTTCCACCTGCCCAATTTTTTCTCAGCCCAGTCAAAGTGACACAGTTGCAAACTTTCTTGCTCAGGCCTTTCCATTCGATCATGCTTTCAACATTCGACTGTGTTATCATTCTCCTGCCATGTACTATCATTCAATCCTACTGGACTGTTGACTGTTACTTGTGGGTCGAACGTTCAAACATGCTTGGGCCGCAGCATTTTTTCCACGTGCGCGAAGATCTGTGATGTCACGAGCAGCCATTTGTCAAGAGCGCGCGTGAGCAGCAAAGCCGCACGCGGCTTTGAGTCCTGCTGCCTGAAAGGCGAAACGAACAAGGACACGCAAGCAGCACAGCTGCGCGCGCCACCGGAATGCAGCGAGGCGTGGCAAACGCAGGCAGCACAGCCGTGCGCTCTTCTTCCCTGCTTTTTCTGCTAGACTGAGTTGCAAAACACAAAAGAATTACACACAACGGCAACACAAATTGGAACTCCAAAACCGGATCCCGAAGCCCACGCACAAAAACGATTTGGCAAGCACTTTTTGAAAGAAATTTCTTTAAAAGTCCTAAGGCCGTACTTTTTGAGTCCTTGCCGAAAATTGCCGAGAAACCATAGCAATGCCGAGGTTCTACGGCTGAGGGTTTATATATATATATAGCAATGTTGTTGCATTCCACGGCCGAGGGTTTAATCATGGGTTCTACGGCCGAGGGTTTATAGCAATGAATGTTTGGCCAAAATGTAGCAAATACCATGCAAATGAAAGGTTGAAATGCCAAAATGTGGCAGATACCATGCAAAATGGAAGGCAAACATTGCCAAATGTAGCAAATACCATGCAAAATGCAAAGTGACCATGCCAAAATGTAGCAAATACCATGCAGAATGACAGGTTCTAGTTCCAAACTGTTGCAAATACAAGGCAAATTGCACCAAGAAAAACCAAAACAAATTCCAAAACCTGAGGCAAAAAAAAATACCAAAAACATCCAAAAACTATTCTACACCCATTTCCTAAACCTCTAGTCTACCTCTACTGCCTCTACTACCTCTACGGCACATGCCAACTGGAGACAATGATCTCTGGGTTAGTGAGGATGTGACATGTTTTCCGTAACTCGGAGTTTCCTCTGCTCCAGGCAATTTCCTTTGATTATTGCTATTGCTTATATCATACTTATATATCTATATGTATACCGTTATATATGTAATGTATGTATGTATGTATGTATGTATGTATGTATGTATGTATGTATGTATGTATGTATGTATGTATGTATGTATGTATGTATGTATGTATGTATGTATATCATACCCATTCATATTCCATGAATTCCCATTACAGAAGTGTGTCCCTATCGGTAATTAGTTATCTCAATAAAATGTCCCCATGACAGCATTTTCTCTAAAAAGCCGTGGAGGAGATTTTGAAGCTTTGCCAGGTCCTGGGGGCACAGGGATCCCTCCGACGTGCCATGGCCAAGATGCCTCCGGATGAGAGAAAAACTGACCATTGAAGCGTTGGTCAAATTGGGATATACATGGATATATACTGTACCTTCACAGTTGCATTTCGGAGAATTAAAAACCCTTGAGATGCTGAAAGCCATGGGGCATCCACCACTCTCAGGCATGGGGGCCTTCTACTTGGGAGTTCCAGAGCGGAATGCCGAGTTGGATTTGGTCTTCGTCTCTCGTTGCTGACAGCGGGCTTGGGCAGGACAATGTTCATAGCTGCCATAGCCTCTCTTGGCACGTTCTTTGTTCTTGTCCCATGCCTCGGGGTTGCCCATGATGTAGGTGTATAATTGTGTACCTACAATTTATACACACACATATACAATCACATTTATATATATAATCACATTTATATATATAATATAATATAATATAATATATATATATACAATATGCATTCATGTATGCTGTGAGTGTGACTCCTACAATTTCATCAGATAGAAATAGTTTTGCATGTTACACTGTTAGACTATGTTTACATGAGTTTCACAGGTCACTCAACGTCGCGTCGATGAACAACACGCGCCCCTCAGGTCTTGCCGGAAGGTAGCGCGACTCAACCCGCAGAGTTGCTGGAAAAGTTGCAAAATGCTTTGCCCAAGGATCGATGGCTCGGAAAACACACTGGGTTCAAAAAAATCCTGGTTTTATGATGTTTCATGGGGGTTCTTAATGGGTGATCCCAAGTCACCGTGGTTGTTTGAAGATGTTTGAATACCAAGTTACTAAGTCATGGTCGAATGACTTGGATGATTTGGGGTAATTACCCCATGCATTTGGATGATTTGCGGTAATTACCCCATGCATTGGAAACATCCAAAGGATCTACAACTAGATTATATAGTTATGTCATGTTCTGTCAAATAATTTGTTTACTGGAGGCCAATCCCTGAAATCACTAGCCAAAGAATCATTCAGGCATTGATTCTCCTACTACTGTAGCATTTGAACTTTTAAAATTTATTCTAACATGATGATTAGGGGGACCGCCAACAATCTGAGATTAGGGATGGGTGAGAAAAACAATCTATTTCTGAGCAAATTTAATCCAGGATTTTGGGTTTGTCAGTGGTCTAGAGTACAGCCGAGGGTCACAAGCCACGTCCTGAAAAAAACAGCTGAATTGTCCATGTTTTTTTTGATTCATTGGTTGATGATAAAGTCTGGAGAGTGGTTGTTTCATGTGGTGCCATTTGGGTTCATAGATCTGGATAGATTTGGTACCATTGGGCTAGTGAATTGCTAGAATTTATCCGGATACATGTTCATAGATTTTTTCCGGTGTTTTTTTGATCTGCATATTGGGAAAAAGGGGATAAGCAACAGGTCCGGGACTTACCGGGGTTATCAACCAGTCACTAAGTGATATGATCCCCAAACAGTAGGTAGATACAGTTCCAGTGAACTAATTGGTTATTATTTATTATATAGCCATAGTCGTAATGGCTATATTGTATCCCAACGTACAGAGCTTGTTACCATGGCTATACTCATAACTAACCCCAATTGCACCCCCAGGTTTCCAGATTGCAGAACCATTTGTTCACCATGGTTTCAATAAAGACCACTATCAGAACCTATTGCTGAGGACAAGGATTTGGTTAGGATTCCACATCGAAAATCCCTGCATTCCCTGCCTCCGTTCAGGCCATCCGAAGCTTTCCCCAGGGCTCCTTAAACGCCCCGGGTTTGCGGTGGCGCGCAAGCCATGCACGCCACGTGCAGCTGTTTCTAGCGAAGGAAGCGGACTAAGTTGGATCCCTGGGACATGATATCACCTATGTAGCCAGCTAATTATATGCCTGGGACATGTGTTGATATTAAAGCACACATTGATGCTGGCAATTTGAACAAAACGTGAAAGTCCCAAGAGTCAGAAAAGGTCACCCACTAAGAAAAGTATGCAGATATTCTTGATTTCAGGACTCCAACTTTAGTTGAGGGTCAGAGTCAGAGGCTGTTGCATCTCCTAGGGGCTTGTCAACTATTGTGGGATGGGTCATTGGATCATATGGTATACATGTGAAAGAATCCAAGGTCTTGTGTTGAATTCACTTCGTATTTTGCTTTCGATGACCCCTCAGTGCAGACAGAAACAAGATCGGGACAAGGATCAAGGACCCTCAAGATTTGGCATTATCTTGGTATTGCAGCATCTCTCCATCACCATGGATGATGGTAAAGGGAACCACCCTAAAATCACTTTATTTCAGGGTGAGCATGTTTGGTGGTTTCAACCAGTTTTTCGTGTCAACCATTTTTGGGATGATGCTGATGATGATGATCATCATCATCATCAACAACAACAACGTCATCATCATGATCCAAATGACTTTTGCCAGGTATTGAAATCACACCATTTGTTTTGTTGCCAGACATCGTTAGTTGCCAGACATCATTAGCCAGTTGCTTCGAGCCTGCAGGAGGAGAAACCTAACCCATCAACGCCAGCACCCAGCGCCATACCGCCCTCCCTTGCAGCCCTCTATGCACATGAGGCACCCAGGGGTTTGTTGTGAGTTGTGAAGGACCTCCATGATGGGAATGGGACGGAACTTCTGAAGGGTTGGTAAGCTCCAAGTATGGAATGTATGGCTGTGAAAAAATCCTACGTTGCCAGGTCTGATTATCAGTGGATGTTTCTTACATACTGAAAAACCATTTGGAAGGTGATTTTGCCAGATTTGGAACTTTGGTGTTCCAGTTTGATTTTCATGGCTGTGAACATCCAAACTTCATCAAACTTCCAAGTTTTGGACTGTCTGAGTCCTACTGTATACATTTCCAACTTTTGCTTGCAGCTTCAACTTGTGCCCGCTTTTGCCTACACAAATTTCGTACGATTGATTGGGTCCCACCTTCCAATCCTATAAGGTATAAATTCACGGTGGTTGCGTGATGTTGCGTGGGTCTTCTCGCTTGGGGGTCCAGAGTGGGATCAAAAAACATCATAATGAGGATGGCTATTATTAATACCCTTCAGTAAATTAACATAGACCCTGGCAGATAAGGGTTGGAAGATTAGTTTCCAGTAAAAATTGGTTATTTTCGGGTTCCATGTTGATTTACCAAATGGTAATAGTTTGCCCAAATTTGGGGCTTACCAATCCGGGAGTCAAAACATGCCGAAGACAAGATTGGACAAAATGTGACAAGTGGTCTTGTTTGGCAGCGTGGGTATGAGGGCAACAACATGCGTTTGCATTCAGATAAATTTGGCTATGGCATGCTAGGGGTCCAGACTTGAGAGATCAAGGTTTCTAAAATGGGGTACCCCTACGTTATTCTCTTTAATAGGATTTTCCATGAAATAAACCATCCAGCTATTTGGGATCCCCCATTTATGGAAGCCCCCATATCTTGAGATCATTGGAAATGGTTCATTCTTCATATTGGCTATCCAAGGCTGGTCCTGGAGAATACTGTCCGTGCAGTGTTCAGCATAGCAACAACTATCTTTATTACTTGCCCTTTGCTAATCAAGCATGGCAATGGAAAATCCCCGTCTATAGATGATTTCCCATTAGAGGCTCCATGTTGAAAGGATTTTCCATTGCCACATTTGATTACCAGAGGGTGCCAATGAATTCATATTGAATTGTATTTTATCATATCTTATGATGCTGTATGATTCTGTATGGGACGGTTTGGCTCAACACCGGCCGGTGGCCATCGGCCGCCCTTAGGGATTGAAATCAGCCCAGGTGAGCTCACAGATTCTGGCCAGTGTACCTTCACAGGAAGTCTTTCAGGACTTGTACCTCGATTGTTTGCTTCAGCCGAAGGCGACCAAGATATGGCAGAATGTAGGGTTTATTATTGGGTATGCCCCAAATAGGGATGATTCGGGATATAAAATGGCCCCCCAGGCATGGCTGGTAAATGGGATGGCTTATTATTCGGTTTGCCAGGTAATACCACATTACTTTGCCATGCGCTCATCACCTTCGAACATGGAAGCTGATCAGACAGGTATGCGTTACACCCCCTGCTTTTTGGAACTACTTCTTTACTATGTTGATTCTGCATCTCTCTCTCTCTCTCAACTGCAACACCGGTCTGTGAAAATTAGTTGCACATTTCTTTCTAGATCGGAGCATACAACTTTCCCAGTCTCCCATGGTGGATTGTTGGTGAAGCCGCATTTTAAAAAGAACTTGTTCCACAGCCTTGGATATCTTGGATGATGACTTCTTGCTCACCAGAAACCTCAAAAACTTGTTGGGGGTTTGGTTAACCCCCTGTAAATATCCAAAGGTCATGGTTAAATCCCCATTCAACCACTATAAACAAACACCAAGTTGGTAAGTACATTGCTCCTCAACGATGTGTTTATTGGTTGCATCGCTTCGTGGTTTGTACTCACAGCAATTCACCTGTTCATGAAATAATCTCCCAAGCTTATCCCATCCCGGCCACAAACCAGCTATTGGTGAACCATTCATTCGTGAGAAGCCATACTTCGTTGGTCAGCTAGATACTGAACAACCAGTAAGGCTATACCTTTATATTATATACAGTCTACCCTGGTGTGGCGGTTGTTCTCGCGCATAATGCATTTGCCTGTATCTTAGCTAGACTCTTTCAGAAGGCGATGACGAGCCTCTAACAGCTATCATTTGGATCACCCAATGGAAACTTAAATATTCATGTTGGTTGTGTGGCCATGTATATGATGCACTGCAGAGAATAAACAAAAACAGCTAGACGACAGTGACCAGTGCGGCCCGCAAGAAGATCAGGAGAACTGCTGTGTATGAACTCCTGTGTGATAACTAATAACTCTTGTTCAAGTCGTTTTGTAGGAGATATGTGGACGTTGGGCACCTGTAGACCGTGTTTGATAATTAATGATGTAGATAACGTATGTGATGCACATGAGGCTGATTGGAGTTGATGTAGAATATGTAGATGATGTGTGAGATGTAGATGGAGCTGGTTAAGGTTGATGTACATGATGTGTGTGTGATGTGATGTAGATGATGTAGATGATATATGTGATGTAGATGATGTAGTTGAAGCTGATGTAGATGATGTAGATGACGTAAAGGATGTTGTAGAGACGTAGGAGATGTCGATAATGTATGTGATGTAGGTGAAGTTGATGTAGATCATGTAGGTGATGTAAAGGATGTAGGAGATGTTATGTAGATAAAGTGACACCTTGAATTTGGTAGCAGTTCTTTGGGAAACACCCTTCGCAGGAGCTTTCGGGAAGTAGTCTATGTAGGGAGGTGTCGGGAGGGTAAGATAGATTGATTAGATAGAATAGATGGCTTGGAAGGACCAGGTAGCGAGACAGACAGATGCATGGACACAGATAGATAGAAAGATAGATAGCAGATCAGATTAGATTAGATTAGTAGATTGGATTAGATTAGATGAGATAGATAGATAATGATAGATAGGAAAGATGGATGGATGGATGGATAGATGGATAGATAGATAATGATAGCAAAATAGATAGATTGCAAAATCGATAGATAGATAGATAGATAGATAGATAGATAGCTAGATAGCTAGCTAGCTAGGTAGGTAGGTAGGTAGATAGATGGACGGACAGACAGACAGATAGATAGATAGATAGATAATGATAGATAGATAAATAGATAGATAGGTAGATAGATAGATAGGTAGATTGATAGATAAATAGGTAGATAGATAGATAGATGATAGATAGATAGATGGAATAGATAGACAGATAGACAGACAGATAGATAGGTAGGTAGATAAATAGAAAGATAGATGCAGGCGGGCAGACGCACAGACGGACAAACGGACAGACGGAGACAGACGGGCAGACAGACAGACGGATAGATGGATGGATGGGCGGATGGATGTATAGACCAGACAAAACACGTAGATTTCAACTCCCCCACCTCAGGTTGCGGGTTGTGAAGCACTGGGCCAAGCGCCGTGGCCTTTATGGTCGCTCAGCAGCATCCCAGACGACTGGTATAACTATCCCAAACTGTCCCATCATTTCAAGTTCGTGAGCTCGTCTTATTTGCTGTCCTTAATTTATCCAGACGGATTGATGGATTGATGTTCGATGATGTTCCGTGTTCATATGACCGCTAAAGGAGATGCATGATTCTGCATGTTTATGTGTTTTGGTAGTGTGCTGCATTTAAGTTTGGACTTGGACATAAGAAACATATGTGGAATTCGCAGGCATTTATGGAGATCACGAATCGACACAGGGAGATTTCACCACAGCAATGGTGTGCCAAGACGATGCATCAAGGGAAATCACCAAGAGTTCATCAGCAATTTGAAAAGATGCAGCATGTGTCTTGCAACTGGGAAATCCTGATAAATTTCGGACTATCCTATGAAAAACACTGTTATTTTCTGTGATTTTGGCTGGGTTTGCTTATGAGTTCCAAATTTCCTATGGTTTCCCCATGATTGTCCCGTGCCTGGGTTGTTTCTATTGGACTCTGCCGACGCCGAGGAAACCTTTTTGGATTTTTTGATGGGACCACCTGGGCCCTGTGCTGCGCAAGAGTTTGTCAGCTCCATCCGAAAGCAGTGCCTTGCATGGAATTTCACTTTGCGAGGTATGGTTGTAGCTACGTAAGGTGGATAGTTATACTGCTTTCCATTTTTTGAAAGGGTTTGCTATGCTATCACTTTGAGCAAAGGATTATCCCTTGGGGTTTAAACCCCGAATTAGGTTTATTTATCATTATTTATCCTCGTTTGACATAATTGCCTTCATTGTTTGCCACCCAAACAAAATGATTTTTCAAAAGTTCAATGCAAACTATGACGATTCTTTCGTGGGTTGACAAACGCGTTTTTTTTTTAACTGGCCATGTTTGCACATGGAATCCAAGCAGTGGCAACTCGGTAAGGCAGAGGATTTTTGTCAACCCATGTTTCAGTCCGTTGTTGCTGAACCATTCACTTCCCTTCAACAATTCTACGAACTTTTATGATAATTTTATGATTATTGTTTAAATAAAAGAGTCAGCCCTGTGTCATGAAAAAAAACCCGAGGTCTTACATGACCTGCTCCAGTTTTTCTTCGCACTCCTGGGCCGTTCGGATTGGTCCAGCCCCATCGCCCTTGATACGGGCGATAGCCTGGCGCCCACGGTGCCCATGGTGCCTGGCACCCTAATGCAGCTGCCCGGGAACGTCTATGGCCCAGCGCGCGCGGCCCACTACGAAGTGAGCGAATCCGCTGCTGGGCGGCATGAGCAGGTCATGTGTAGCAGCTTCGCAGATTGTGGCACACTAACTATGTGTAGCTCCCCACCTGCCAAGCGAGGGTTTTTAGATTTGAACAAAGGTGCAACTCCTCCTCCTCCTTCTCCTCTTTGTCTCCTCTGCCAGCTCTGGACCCGAACTCCATATCGCGAGCTCAGGATGCAGTGGGGGGAATGTGAGAAAGAATGTCAGAACAGATGCCAGCATTGAACGTCAGAATAGATCCCAGAGAGAATTCCCGATGGAATATCAAAATTTATGCCAGGTAGAATGCCTGAATAGAATGCCAGAACAGATGCCAGAAAGAATGTCAGAATAGATGCCAGATAGAATGCCAGAAAAATCCAAAAAAATGTCCGAATGTATGCTATAAAGAATGTCAGAAAGAGGGCCAGAATGAATGTAGGAGAGAATGAATGTTAGAATGAATGTCAGATTGAATGTCAGATTGAATGTCAAGGTATATGCCAGAAAGATTGCCAGATAGAATGTCAGAAAATATGTGCTTATGCCGCATTGTGCCTATTTATACATGTGCTTTCAGATGGTATGTCAGAATCTGTGTCAGAATTGTGTGTGTGTGTCAGGGTGGGGATCAATCGAAGAAAGCATTTTTTCCTGCAAACTCAGATAAGACAAGGTAACATTTTATTATATATTTTATTATATTTTATTGTTTCAATTTTTGGGTGAAATCTGGTGAGGATTCTGAATGCAGCGCTTAGATATGGCTTATAGTCCTGAGGTGATGCGGGTGGTGCAACGCGAGCTCCGCCGCGCCGAGCAGAAGAGGGTCCCAGAGTTGTGGGTTTCTGGGCCCCAAATGGGCCCCAGAGTCTGTCATCAACAGGGGACCGAACTTAGGGAGGACCTATTTTTTCTGTTATTATGGTAGCCCTTTGATCCTTTGTTCAACGAATGTGATGAAGGAGCACCCAGGCTTTTTGCACATAGATGATGTTTGATGATTCCAGATTTTGTCCACTGCCGTGTGATATGCATTTAGGATGTCCATGGTCAACATAGCCAACATGAGCAGAAAGGCGGTTTTGAGACTGAAACTTAGTGGAGGTCGGCCTACTGATTCAGGTTCCCTAGAATGCATCCCGTTTGTGTGTATTCTTCAAAATGAAATGCAGTAACAATAACCTTGAATGGATTGATTTTTGTATGTTCTAGCAATGTTTCAACTCCTTCAAGAGTATGTCTTCAAGGTTTTGGGGTGTTCAAAAATCGGTAGTCAAAACCAGTGGGTTTCCATATTCTCGGGAGACGAACATCGATGGGTCAAAGACCTTAAGGCCGAGCACCAATTCTTCAGCCGCCATCGTGGCTGGGAGCACTGGGATCGGGGACGATGGGGTATTCCCGTAGCAGGTCGCCAAGAGATGGGGTACTTCTTATATACTATATACATCTATATACTCTATAAGATCTAACATAGACCCGGGCAAGCCGGCGGCGGAAGTTTCCCAAACATAAATGACCTATAGTTCAAAGACAACCTGTCCCGACCGTGTCCTTCCCTCGACACTCCACACCTCACACTGCACTCTTCGCACTCCAAACTTCAAACTTCACACTCCACACTTCACACTTCACACTCCACACTTCTCACTTCTCACTGCTTCCTTCACACTCCAAACCTCACACTTCACACTTCACACTTCACACTGTGCTCTTCGCACTCCAAACTTAAACTTCACACTCCACACTGCACACTTCACACTCCACACTTCACACTTCTCACTTCCCACTGCTTCCTTCACACTTCACACTTCACACTGCACTCTTTACGCCCCACACTTCACACTGCTCTAAACCTACGTGGAACAAAAAAACACTAATGCGACAAAATGGAGAAAATCTGCTGACATATCACTGTGGCAGCCTTCATGAAGCCACTCCAATACGATTTACGAAGTCGAGCTGCAAAAGACAATAGTATTACGAATGCAGCCACAGCACGAAGCAACCTTGACGCAGCCATTACAATGCGATCTGCAGAGACTGAGTTGCAAAACACAATAGAACTACGCGCAACGGCGTCGGAAATTGTAGCTCCAAAACCGGATCTCGACGCCAGAGCAAAAAAAAAGACGATTTTGAAGCACTTTTTAAAAGGATTTTTAGAAGGAAAATCACTAGCGCCAAAATGGAGAAAATCTGCTGACAAATCACTGTCGCAGCCTTCATGCAGCCACTCCAAGACGATTTCCGAGATCCAGCTGCAAAAGACAATAGTATTATGAATGCAACCACAGCACGAAGCAACCTCGACGCAGCCATTACAATGCGATCTGCAGAGATTGAGTTGCAAAACACAATAGAACTACGCGCAAGACGATTTCCGAGATTCAGCTGCAAAAGACAATAGTATTACGAATGCAGCCACAGCACGAAGCAACCTTGACGCAGCCATTACAATGCGATCTGCAGAGACTGAGTTGCAAACCGCAATCCCATTTACATTGCGGGAACGATCCTACAGTTGCAAAGCAGAATGGAATTCCATCGGCAACTCATCCACCAGCAACACTTGCAATCCCATTTACATTGCGGGAACGATCCTACAGTTGCAAATCACAATGGAATTCCATCGGCAACTCATCCACCAGCACCACTTGCAACCCCATTTACAATGCGGGAACGATCCTACAGTTGCAAATCACAATAGAATTCTGTCGACCGCACATGCACGAAAAACAGTTGAAACCCCATTTACAATGCGGAACCGATCCGAGCATGATCCGAACATGATCCGAACATGATCCGGACATGATCCGGACATGATCCGACCACACACGAGACCGTCTCGCAACCGTCGCACCGCAGAGGTAGATCATCGAGGTTCGGGGACGGACTTTGTATGGAAAAACATAGGGTTTCGTGCATCTGCTATCTCTCAAAAACGCATTTCGTGCGAGACTTCCTTCAAAACTCCATCGGCAACTCCTCCACCAGCACCACTTGCAATGCCATTCTAACTCTTTCTTTGACTAGCTCTTTCCCTGACAGTCTAAAAGTTACAATTAACTCTGTCCCTAACTAACTCTTTCCCTCACTAACTCTTTCTTGGACTAAATCTTTCCCTGATGAACTCTTTCCCTAACTAACTCTTTCCCTCACTAACTCTTTCTTTGACTAACTCTTTCCCTGATGAACTCTTTCCCTAACTAACCTTTCCCTGACTAACTCTTTCTTTGACTAACTCTTTCCCTGATGAACTCTTTCCCTAACTAACCTTTCCCTGACTAACTCTTTCTTTGACTAACTCTTTCCCTGACATTCTAAAAGTCCGTAACACGGAAGTTTCTCCCCCTAAATTTCCTTTGATAAGGAGGTTTCCTAAACTGCGGGGTACCCCCAATCATCTAAAATTAGATCATTTTAGCATTGGAATTGGAACCAATGGTTTTGGAGATCCCTCATCTTAAGAAACCTTGATATGTATGTATGATTATGTATGTGTCTCAATCATTCTAAGTCCTCATGAGGTTGGCCGGTGCCATTTTACTCCAGCAGTTGGGTATTTTAAACAACCTGGCCGGGTATTTTAAAGCCAACCTGGCCGACATTGGTGGGGACATTCGATTGCTCTCACTGTCACCACAAAACTGTTTGGTGGTTCATGTTTTTTTTGTGCTTCGCTATTTATCATCCAACTTTAAAAATGAGATGATGATTCCAACTGACTCTTCAGAATTCAAATGTCACCATCACTGTCACCATCATCATCTTCACAATTATAATAATCACCTTAATCATCATAATTTTCATCATAATCACCATAATCATCATTATCATTATGATTATCATAATAATAATAATGGTAATAATAATAGAGTCATCATCATGATCATCATCATCATCATCATCATTATCATCCTATCCAGTTGCCTCATGTGACGCTCAGTGAAGGATCTGGTTGCCCACCCACAGGTTCTATGCTCTCAGAACTGCATTTGTCTGATGAATTCCTATCATTTTTGCGGAATTTGTTGAAGACAAATTGTGCGCTTGTGGAAAACATATATATATACATATACATATACATTTTGTTGGTAAACTATGGTTTTCTCCGAGTCTCCAGATATTCAACCCAGAAACTGTTGGACATCTTGTACGATGGACAGGACCAGCTTGCACTAAGGACAGCGTAAAAGCTGAAAGACCGTATATTTTATAAATACATATAAATACAACTAAATACATATAAATACGATATCTTAGGTGCCTGCCTTGTTTCCTGCTCGGTCGAGGTCCTGTTGGTAGATGCTGTTTTCATTTGTCTTGAGCCTCCTTTGAAACGGGCTGGGAGTCATCCTGTACCGCCTGCACCGCCACTGCGGGTGGAAAGGTCACTACATTCGCTTTGATTTTATGGCAAGTAGTGATGAGATTTTGGAGAAGTGGTGGGTTTCTTGGAGAAGTGGTCGGGCTGACTGTAGAGATTTCTTGGCTGTAAGGGGAACGTGTTGAAGACGATCAGATAATTACTCTCCTTGTTTGAGCCACAAACCATGCCAACTAGAGATTGGATGTCGTTGCTTGCATGACAGAAATGAAAGTCTTTGATGTGTGAGAAGTTAGAGAAGTTGAAATGGATGAGCCTTCCCTTGAATCCATTTCTTGTAGCCAACCATGCAGGTACCCGCGCGTTGTGTTGGTTTAATCATATGCCACCTTTGATTGTCATGTTGAATCGAACTTGCGACTTGAATCGTGAACTCTCCAACTTGGTTACACACATTGTTGGTCGTCAGAACTTGTGGCGCAGCTGTAATTTAAGGTACCTACCAAGTATTTGCGTATGAAGAACTGGCTGGATGGATCAACATTCTGTGTATGCCTATAATCTATCATTATCTATTAATTATTATATCTATCATGTTTGTTCATGCTCTATCAATACCTATCAGTATCTATCATTATCTATCATTGTCTATCAATATTTATTATTACCTATGTATCGATGTATCTCTGTACCTATGAACCTTATCTATCTGTCTATCTATCTATTTATCTATCTATCTGTCTATCTATCTATCTATCTATCTATCCTTCTATCCTTCTATCTATCTATCTATCTATTCTTTCTATCTATATCTATCTATATCTATCTATGTCTATCTATGTCTATCTATGTCTATCTATGTCTATCTATGTCTATCTATATCTGTCTATATCTACCTATATCTATCTATATCTATCTATATCTATCTATATCTGTCTATATCTATCTATCTCTATCTATCTATCTATGTCTATCTATGTCTATCTATGTCTATCTATGTCTATCTATGTCTATCTATGTCTATCTATGTCTATCTATATCTATCTATATCTACCTATATCTATCTATATCTATCTATATCTATCTATATCTATCTATATCTATCTATATCTATCTATATCTATCTATATCTATCTATATCTATCTATATCTATCTATATCTATCTATATCGATCTATATCTATCTATATCTATCTATCTCTATCTATCTCTATCTATCTCTATCTATCTCTTTCTATCTCTATCTATCTCTTTCTATCTCTATCTATCGATCGATCTATCTATCGATCTATCTATCGATCGATCTATCTATCTATCTATCTATCGTTCTATCTATCGATCGATCTATCTATCTATCTATCTATCGTTCTATCTATCTATCTATCTATCTATCTATCTATCTCTCTCTCTATCTCTCTATCTCTCTATCTAATCTATCTAATCTATCTAATCTAATCTAATCTATCTAATCTATCTATCTAATCCATCGATCTAATCTATCTAATCTATCTA